TGTCTGGCCTCAATCCCCTGAGGGAAAAGTCACTTGGAAAATTTCAATATAAACGGCCAAGAACTGGGCAGGACGTGAGTGGGGAAGCATCAAGGATCCCAGTTTCTCGCAGGTGAAGGGGAACTCAGAGCAGCTGTGGCTGCCCCAGCCCTGGAAGTGTCCAAGACCAGGCTGGACGGGGCTTGGAGCAACCTGGGCTAGTGGAAGGTGTCCCTGCCCGCGGCAGGGTTGGAACGAGATGGGGTTCAAGGTCCCTTCCAATCCAAAGCATTCTTGGATTCTGTGATTCTGTGAACTCACCATGCCCAACGTGGAGGAAATGGCTCTGCCTCCTGCAGCAGCCCCTCTCTGCAAACAGGTTCCTTTGCTCCTCTGCTCTGCCCACAGCTCCGGCGCCTGCGGTCACAAACCCCGAGCTCAGCATGACCCCAGTTACAATTCCCCACCTTTCCTGCCCGAGCTGGGAGAAGGCACTGAGTGCCCATCCACCCACCATCCTGAACCAAACAGCTCCAGCATGAGGAACAGATTTAGTTATAGATGGACATGACACATCTGGCAGCTCAACCCTGACTGGTTGGGCTGAACCCCCTGTTTAGTTGCTCCAAGTGCTCTGTTTGGCACTGTTTGTCTCAGGACATCCGTCCCCTGCTCTCTTCTACCTTCACATTACTGCAAGGTGAGCTCAGTAAGGAGTTGCCTCCCACAGCACAAAGCACTAAACCCTCCCCAGATTCCCCTGACACGAACTGCAAACTGTTTGCCCAGTGCAGGCAGCCCGGGCTGTTCACTGGTCACTGTTCACAGCACACACCGACCCTACAGCAGCATCAGATCCCAGTGGAGCCCATGCCCAGTCCCACACCACCCCCCCTCTGCTCTCCCCTGCCAGAGGTCAAAGCAGTGCCAAGGACAAAGAGGAGGAAAAAGGAACTTACTGGCAAAGACAGGAGCCTGCAAGAGCCCTGCAAGGAAGACCACAGCTCGTGGGTCCTGCATGCTGCACCCTGGGAAGCACAGGAAGGTCTCCAGTACCTCTGACACTTATACCTGCCCTCCCTGGCAGGTGAGAAGGTGAACAGCTCTGAGCCAAATGGACTTGCATATCCCGGCAAATGTCCCCAGATTGTGATCTGAGCAAACACCTCAGCGGCCTGGGGACGAGCACCCCTCACCCATGATCAGGACCATGCTCCCAGCTGGGATGACCAGGCTGGGATCAGGCTCCCAGCAAAACTTCAAAGTGTTTCTTGAGAGCCACTGGATTTGCTGCCAGCCTGGAGAAGCTCCCTTGGGGGTCTTTGTTGTTACCACCACTTCCAAACTAATTAAGTTTGTGGCGACTGGGAGCCGCTCTCAAATCCTCTCACTTGAAAGGAACATGCATCCTTCATCCTCCCTCATCCCATTCAATGGTTTTATCTGGGGACAACCCTCCTCTGTCCCTCCCTTCACCAAATGGAGTCAGAGCTGGTGCTTGGACAAAGCAGGACTCCCCCCATCAGCACTGGCAGAGTGTTTCCCACAGCCACGAGGAGCTGCCTGGGGCTCCAGTTGTGTCTCTGGTCAGTGGGACTGAGCCCTGGAGCCAGGAGGAGGCATCTCTCTTCCTAGCTGCTAAATCCATGTAGGAAAGCACCAGTTAAGTCCAAGTAGGAAGGCACTAGAGCCCTGGAAGCAGACACTGCTGGCCACCCCTGTGCTGTCAGGGACTCTCTGAGATGTCTGATGGATCTGGCCAAGGGCAGCAGATTCCTGAATACAGGATGCACAAGGCTCCTCATCACAGACCTCGGGATCTCTGCACCAGCTTGGCCAAGGGCATGTGGCAGGGGACAGATCCTGCTCCCAGGGAAAACGGTTTTGCCAGATTCAGGAGTGAGAGCACACAAGTAACACATCGGATACTGCTCTGGCATTCAAAATGGGGGTCTGGGGGCTGGGTTTTTCCTGGCTACAGTCACTTGCAGGTGCAGCAATCACAGACACAGAAGCTGCACAGCCCCCAGAACAAGCTGAGTCTCCTTGGAGCTCATCCCCAGTTCCTGGAGGCCAGCTGTGCTCCTCTGGGACGGATGCCTCGAGGAAATAATTAGCAAAACCAAAGTGCTACGAGAAGGCATCCTGCCAAAAACACACCATTTATCACCAGGCTACAGGAACCTCATCCCCTCCAACCCAGCCCAGAAATCAGCACAGATGCTCAACAACAACAAAAAAATAAAAATTTAATTGTGTTAAGAGACAAACACATATAACAAAACCCACATTTCCATTAAAAAAAATTCCCTGTGCCTGGGCACCTGAGCTGAGCCAGTCTCTGCTCACAGCTCTGTGGTGCTGCAGAGTACCCAGAGAGACCAGAACAGAGTAACTGCTGTGTAACCTGGCCAGAACAGAGAGCAGCTGCAGGGCAGGGGGAAGTGACATACAAAATAGTTATGGAAAAATATGCGTTTTAAATAAAGAGCTTACAATAACTTCAGCTTTATACAAAATATCACGGTTGCCATTTCAGTGTTTCAATTCCAGGAATCATTTTTGAACTCTCAACATCCTGTTTTCCATCTCACACCATCTCTGCAGTCTCTTTCTCCAGGGAGCTCAGTCTCTGTTCAGCTCAGTCCAAAGTACCTGAAAATGAAAAAACACATTACAGTCTCAGGGATCAGAAGTTCAGTTCTGTGAACAAATGAAACCTGTTTACAAGCTGCCAAAGCAACATGCAGTAACCCTAAAGTTTAAGCAAATCACACATGAGTAAGCCCAAACTCAGCCAAAAAGTATTGCATGTGCCTCAAGGGCCCACTTGAGCTGTTCCACTGCTCAGAGGGGCACAACAAGCTACACTATGTGAATTACTAAAGATGTGGACAAAGAGAGCTTTGCAAACGATTCAGTTCTTCCTCTCCCACAGTGGTGACCATAAAAAACACTGAAACCAAGTGAAACCAAGTAGAAACTCACCTTCTAAAAAAGCAAATTCGTCGATAGCTTCAATGGCATTATCTGCAAAGCAAATTGAGAACAATTACCACAGATAAACCACCCCCTTATTTGCATCTAACAGCAGCATCTGAAATTACATCACAGCAGAGTGACCAACTTCAAAAAGGTTTACTTGTTTTAGAGCTGGTGTGTGAAATTATTAGTGTACTATTTAGCATAAGAGAAGTTTTTCTCTCCCATCTTCAGAGAAAGAAAGAGAAGCACCTATGATTATTTCAGCACTCTGGGACAGGTGGAAAAATCCCAGTAACCCAGAGGTTTAAGGCCAGCACAGAACATGCTCTCATACCAAGGTCTTTTCTCTGCAGAGTTTTCCTTTTTCCTTGCTGGGCGTACACATAAGCATCTTTGGCTATGGTTTCAACAAACAGCTCCTGCAAGACAAAACTAGGACAGTTTCACACAGGTGATGGGAGAGGGGAGAGAGAATATTCTGAGGAAAGGAAAGGTCCTGCAAGACCTCAGGATGAGACCAGAATCTCCATCTTAACATTTCGCCTTCCCAATAAACGGCTCTGAAAATAGCAAAGGGAATGGTTGCACAGTAAGGAGGAGAAGCAGGAGAAGCAACAAGGGAGAAGGCCGGGAGTGTGACGGGTCCTCTGAACACACCATGGCTCCCTGGGTACCTTCTGAAGGGGGAAAGGTGTCCTGTGCTCAGGGGATGAATCACCTCGAAGATCGCCCAGTCCAAGCACCACCACCGTGTTCACCACTACACCGTGACCTCAAGTGCCACATCCATTCGGCTGCTAAATCCCCCCAGGGATGGTGACTCCACCACCGCCCTGGGCGGCACAACCCCTTCCACAAAGGAATTTCCCTAATATCCAATCCAAACCTCCCCTGGTGCAACTTGAGGCCACTTCCTCTCGTCCCATCACTTGCTCCCTGGGAGCAGAGCCCGAGTCCCCCTCCCGGCTCCCCCCTCCTGTCAGGGAGTTCTGGAGAGCCAGAAGGTCCCCCCTGAGCCTCCTTTTCTCCAGGCCGAGCCCCCCCAGCCCCCTCAGCTCTCCTGGTGCTCCAGCCCCTTCCCCAGCTCGCTCCGGGAGCTCTGAGCCGCCGCGGGCCGGGGGATCCCCCGCACCCGGGGCAGAAGAAAAAACCTCCCGTGAGGGCCAAGCAGCGGCTCCGCACCCCGCGGCGCTCCGGTCCCCGGGCCGCCCCTCACCGTGGCCCGCGCCAGCACGAACACGGCCTCCTGGCTGGCCAGGGTGACGTCCGGGTCCGCCTTCACCAGCGCCTTCACCCGCGCCAGCGGCAGCCGCGCCAGGCGGGCCGGCCCCGGGCACTGCGGCCCCGCGCCCGCCGCCTCCTCCCCGCCGGGCCCCGCCGCCGCCTCCGCGGGCCCCGAACCCGAACCCGAACCCGGGCCCGGCACCGCCGCCGCCGCCGCCATCCCGGCCCAGCGCTGCGCCTGCGCGGGGCCCGCGGGGCAGGGCCGGGCCTGGCGGGGCTGAGGGAGCCGGGGGGGGTGGGTGTGCGCCCAGCACGGCCCCGGAGCGCCCCGAACACCGGGCCTTGTGCCCCCCGGCACCCCAGACGCGGCCCCTGAGCTCCCCTCACCCCGTCCCCCAGCACAGCCCCTGCGCTCTCATCACCCCCAAGCACGGCCCTTGAGCTCCCCTCACCCCCAAGCACGGCCCCCCTGAGCTCCCCTCACCCCGTCCCCCAGCACAGCCCCTGCGCTCTCATCACCCCCAAACACGGCCCTTGAGCTCCTCTCACCCCCAAGCACGGCCCCTGAGCTCCCCTCACCCCCAAGCACGGCCCCCCTGAGCTCCCCTCACCCCGTCCCCCAGCACAGCCCCTGCGCTCTCATCACCCCCAAGCACGGCCCTTGAGCTCCTCTCACCCCCAAGCACGGCCCCCCTGAGCTCCCCTCACCACCAAACTCGGCCCCTGAGCTCCCCTCACCCCCAAGCACGGCCCCCCTGAGCTCCCCTCACCCCGTCCCCCAGCACAGCCCCTGCGCTCTCATCACCCCCAAACACGGCCCTTGAGCTCCTCTCACCCCCAAGCGTGGCCCCTCGTTCTGCTCACCCCATCCCCCAGCACAGCCCCTGCGCTCTCGTCTCTCCCAAACACGGCCCCTGAGCTCCCCCATCCCTGTCCTCCCCCAAAACGGCTTTCAGGGCCTCCCCGCCACCCCTCATCCCCAAACACGGATCTTGGGCCTCCGTGTCCCCCCCAGACAGGGCTGTGCTGTCCCTGTGGCAGCAGCAGGAGCAGTGGGGCAGGTGGGGATGGGGACCCACCTCTCCGAGGAGCTGGCTGTCACCACTGTCTGCCTGCCCTGTGCCCCTGTGTCAGCTCCCTGTGGGACCCGTGTGTGACCTCCTGACAACTCCTTTCCATCCCACCTCCAGCTGGTGGGATCAAACCCTCCAGTGCCTGCCTTGGGCACCCACCACCCTCCACAGGACCCCCAGGACCACCACCCTTGGCCAACGGGTGCTCATCCCAGCCTTCTCCATGTCCGCAACCTCTGTCTTATCCTTAAATTTGCAGCAGGAGCCACTGCAGGCACTGCTGATGGGACACCTTCCCAAAGGACTGGAGGGACATGCCACCCTGGAGCAGGGAAGTCAGCATCCACCAGCCAGCCAGAGCAGCCCTGCCCAGGGCTTGACCTCTCAGACCATTCCTGCCTCTGAGGCAACAGTTGACATCAGGATGTTTCAACACAGCAATGGCCCAATGCAGAACCGCTCTGTGCAGACCTTCCCCTGCCTTCCCAGAGGAGTTTGTGTGGGGCTGTTTTGCTGTGTGACCCCCCACAAATCACTTCCACCCTCTGCAGGTCCCCTGTGGCTCTGAGACCTGACCTGCAGAGGGTTCACATCGGCCACCATCAGATGAGGACATTGCCCACCCTCCCAGGCCCATCCCTCACATCCTGCAGTCAGTTCCCAAAACCCAGGCTCTTCTCTGGATGAGACTTTTCTGGGCAGCAGAGCTTGGTGGGCTGCAAGCTTCCAACAGCAGCAGAGCCAAGCTCGTGGTCCTCCAAGAGCCGCTCCTCCTCCTCCTCTCTCTCCTCCCCCTGGTGCTGTCTCACCATCAGGCTACAGCGACTTCCTGGCATTGCACACAGGTCCTCACCAGCCGTTAGGAAAGAGCTTCTGGTTTCAGGGGTGGGGGACCTTGGAGAGGCTCATCCTGGAATGCCTCGGGTGGTCTTTAGCAAGGAGGTGAGCACACAGGAAAGCATCCACTGATGGAAAATGGTGAGTAAGAACCAGACTTGGGCTATGCTGGACATGGGGAGGGGACACTGGGAGTGGAGCTGTGTCTCCTGGTTGGGAAGGCTTTGGGGATGTCCTTGTGAGGGACAGAATCCACCTGAGACCCTCGCTCCTCCTGGAAGGCAAAGTCCCCCTGTATGTCTGAGCTGATCGGAGCTTCAAAGGTCTCTGACCTGTTCCTGGGCTCAGTGGGAGTTTTGCTGGATGAAGTTGGGGTGGATATAAACATCTGGGAAAACGCTCCCACTGAGTCCAGGAGAGCTCCACCGGCACAAAATACATTGGAAAACCTGGAATTCGTCACAGTCACAGTGGTGTTGTATCCCACAGGTACACCTGAGAGCTCTGGGCAAGTCCCAGTTCATGGAACAGCCCCAAAACCGATGGTTACAAACCACTGAGTCATCCAAGTGCCAAAAATCCCAGCAGCATGTTTGGGAATCTAGAAAAAGTTGGGGTTTTTTCACTAGTTCGGGTGAAAGCCCCACTGCCTGGTGTGCAGGAAACAGCACATTCACTCTGCTTCACCACAGGCTATGCCAAATGCTGCATGTGAGGGTTTACCAGGGGAATTGGGGCATCTGCCTGGAGAACTTGTGTTTATGTAGGTATACATATACATTTGATCAGTTATGTCTAAAAACACTGCACCAGCTTCTCTCCATATCAGCCCTTCCCTTGTGAAAGAAAAAATTGCGCAAGTACAAACCCAAACTGAAATCCCAGAAGAAGAAGAACTTCAAAATCAAAGCCTACAGCTCCAGCAGAGCAGCAGCTCTGGTGCAAAGAAACACTGTGGGCTGGGGACGTCAGAGTGGGAGAAACATGGGGAGGGTAAGGTGATCCCTCCCCTTCCACAAGGTCCCTCTGAGAAGCTTAGGAAAAAATGTAGCCCCATCCTGTAGCTGTGTGCCATAGCTCCAACCTGGCACTCTTCTTCCAAGAGCCATCCAGCCTCCTCCTGGCAGCCTTTCTGTGAAGGCTCTAGCAAAAGGTGAATTTTGGTCACTGAGGTCACCGAGGAAGCTGAGGGCACCTCTGTGCTGGAGCCAATATGTCCTGGTTTGTGTGTACACGGTGTGAGCTGCACAGGAAACACACAGCTCAGAAAAGTAGGCCAGCTCTGCTGCCTCTTGGCCTTGTTTTTTGCATGCAGGCTTTGGTGGGATGAGTTTCAGCAGCACCACCCCGAGTTTTCCTGCAGGGAGGGATCCAACGGCTCTGTGTGGTCTCCCTCTCTTTGTGGTTCTTCATGGGAACCAGGACCAGGGCAAGGCAGGTTGCTCCCCTCTGAGCCCTGGGTAATCTCTGGATCTCAGATTCTGCCCTCAGGAGCTTTGTTACTAGCAGGGTGTAATCCCTGACCCAATCCCTCTGGTTTGATGGTCCCTGGTAGTGGACAAAGGGTGGATCAGACCAGCAGCCCGGTGTTGTTTTCTCAGACATATTCCAGGACCTTTTTGAGCAAAGACCTTGTTTCATGGAGAAGGCTTAGTGTGAGGCCATGCTGAAGGAATACCACATTCCTCAGGGGGAATTTTGACTCTTTTTCCTCCATGGTGTTTTAACTAGAATTTTTTTTAACAGTCGCAGATGCATCTGGAGGGGAGAGATGCTGTCGTGAGACACCTGAGGGCAAAGTTCCAAGGGATCAGGAAAGACCCTCCTGAAGCGGGGGGCTGGCCAGAGAGTCACCCTGCAGCACCCCATGGACCAGAGCCAGGACAGACCCTTGCAATGGGCTCCAAGGGCAAGCCTCCTCCAGAACCCCCCCGGACCAGGAGAGTGGACTACAGCAGGGCCTCTCCGTGCCACAGCACAGGTCAGAGTGTGGCACAGCATTCCCCTCCTCATCTCGCCCACGAGGCCCTGGCATGGATGGCACGGCAGAAGAAGGGGATGGCTCAAGACACCAACTTCCACCGAGCACCCGCAAAGCCAGGAGGAGGAGATGTGTTGAACAAGGAGGTGGGAGCAGGCCCTGATCCTCCCCAGAGGAAGCCAGCCCAGCAGACACGGCCACTTGCCAAAGACAAGGGTGTTCCAGCAGTTCCTGCCAAAGGCACGGCGGTTGCAGCCCCCCTGGTTGCTGCAGGAAGCCCCCACCACCCAGGACTCCCAGCTCTGCCCCAGAGGAAGCCTTTGCCACCCATGAGGGTGCTGGGGGTGAAGCCAGCCAAGCCCTGGCGCCCTCCTGTCGTGGATTTGGCAAAGGTCAGAGCAGCTGCACGTCCTGGGACACCTCTCCATCCTGCCACAGTGCCACCAAGGAGTGCTCAGCTGGGTATGGCCAGACACCTAGAAGTCCCTCAGGGAAGGATGCTGCTTGTTGAGGAAGGGAAATGTCCCCACTTGGAGCCTGGATCTCCTGGGAAATGGAAATACTGTGGGGGCTGATGGAGAAGTGGGGGCTGGTAATACCAAAGGGGCTTTTATAGGCAATAGCATGTGGAAAGGAATGAGAGAGAAGGAGAGCAGGTGAGGAAACAAATTGCCCTGTCCCTGGCTGGGCACAGGTATCAGGCCCTGGGGTGTTTGTAGGGAGTAAGGTTGGAGTAATTAACACAAGACATGCTGACAAACTGGAGTAAGCCCAGTGCAGGGCACTAAGATGGTTGGGGGCTGGAGAACATGGGGAAAGAAAGGCTGAGACCCAGGTTTGTTCATCTGGGAGGAGAGGAAGGGGAGATCTCACTGCCCACAGCGACCTAATGGGGGGAGAAGTGGGATCAGACTCTTCCCAAGAGGTGCCTGGGAGCAGGCCTGGAGGTGGTGGGCACAAGCAGTAGGGGAAATTCCAGTTAGGCAGGAGGAGAAGACTCTTTCCCGTGAGCACGGTGCAGCCCTGATGCAGGCACCAGGAAGACAGGCATCTCCATCCTTGGAGATACTCAGTTTTCACCTGGATGAGGCCCTGAACAACCTGCTCTAGCTCTGAGGCCAGACCTGCTCTGAGCAGAGGTTGGATGAGTCTGCAGGGGTCCATTCCCACCAGTCCATCCCTGTGTGGCAGTCAGAGCAGACCAGCCCGACCGGTGGGAAGCAGAGCTGGTCTGTCCCATGAACAAGAAGCACTTACACACCAAGTTTAACACCCAGTGTGTGTGTGTCGGCCCCTTTGGCCTCGAGGCAGAGGCTCCCTGCTGCCTGTGGGATGCAGGGCTTGGTGCCTCTGGGTGAGGTGGTTCTCCATTCAGCACGAGCCCTGGACGCTCCACAGTGGCCTTCTAGTTCCAGGCCACTGCAGTGGTTTCTCACAGCTGCTGCTCTGCTAATCCACACTCTGGGTGTTGAAACCTGTTTCAAATCCCGTTTTCTGGCTCAACTTCTCTAGCCATGAGAGTAGAGCCTCCCTTATTTCCTCATGAGAACTGAAAAATCGAGCTGGTTTGTGTTACTATTAAAAGGTGTTATCAGGGCTGGCTGTGCTGTTGTGCTGGGAGATGCTCACCCATATGACCAGCCCTGGTAGAGGAGGGAGCAATCTGCTCTCCCTGTGTCCTACAAACCAGCAATTTTTCAAGTATTTATTGTCTCATGGGTACTGAGGCAAGTTTGAACATCTAGAATTACCTCCAAATAACAATTTGGTTATTGTTGTTAGTTTTTTGGGCAATCTTACAAGTTTTGGGGCCTAGTATTTGATTGTGCATTACTTGGTAAAATAACCCAGCAGAGCTGTGATGTTGTACTTGGGTCTTCATGCCAGTTGTTGGTTGGTCTGGTTGACCAGGCTGGTGATGAGCTTGATGATAAAAACAGTGGCATGTTAGCAGGCATGTGGGCATGCTGGCAGTCCTGAAGTGTACAGCAGCATGTTGTGGCTGCTGATGCTTCTGAGTACATGGAGATATCCAGGGCTTGCCCTAACACTGGTACAGAACTGGAATTTAGGGTTTTCACAACATTCAAAATACCTGGTTTGGCCTCTTCATCTTCCCCTTCCATCATCTGTCCAGGGAGAAAGTAACATTAGGGTCATAAGAATGGGAAAATATATATTCAAGGTCCCCAGTGAGCTGTGCCCCCATGTGCTGCACGAAAGTCCCCAGACGAGCTATGGAGTAAAAAGTTCTTGCTTGATCCAGATGTGCGGTTTTATCTCCCCACCTCCCTCTCTCTGCACTAAATCCAGTCCAGGGTGGCTCTGACCTCAGGGTGGGTGACAGAGCTGAGGAGAAAATATGAGATAACCCCTCACTGCTGCCTCCTGTTCCGCTGTTTCCCACAGGTCCCCTGAGACCAGGCTGTGCCGCGCCAGCGCCGGCGCGGTTCCCGCTGCAGGGTGCTCCGAGTGGAGCGGGGTAAGGACAGACACAGCTCTGTTATTCCTGGGGGCTTCGAGGCTGTGCCGACCCAGTGGGAAGGGCTCAAGAGGGGACAGCGAGCGGCTCCTGGGGTTTTCCTGCCTGCTGCTGGAGCCCAGCGTGCGCTGGCAGCTCCCGCGGTGGAAGCGCTGCCGCCCCTCGGGGGCTGCGGTACCGCACTGCTGTGGCTGCTGCCATCGCACCCCCTGCCCGTCCCCTCCACGGCCCTGCTCTGCTGCGTTGTGAGGAGCTGCTGGCACAGGGCACAGAGCTGCTGTCCCGCTCTGCCCCAGAGCCAGGGCCAGCCCGCGGGCAGCCCACCTGCCCCTTGCCCACCCTCCTCCTGGCAGCCTCGATTCTGCCCTCGGCCCCCAACCCCGCTCTGCCTTGCCACAGGGATGAAGATGAGATATATGATGACGTTGAGTCTCTTGGGCCGCCCAGGAGAAACCCAGGCGCGCTGCTGCCTCCTGTGTCCCGGCCGCCAGCAAATCCCCGCCCTAGAGGAGGTGGGTACGGGAGGGGCTGGGGTGCTGTTTGGGGCGAGAATCATAGAATCATAGAATAGATTGGGTTGGAAAAGACCTTCAAGATCATCAAGTCCAACCCCTGATCCAACTCCAATTACTATATCATGGCACTAAGGGCCACGTCCAATCTCTTTTTAAAAACCTCCAGGGATGGTGAATCCAGCACCTCTCTGGGTAGGCCGTTCCAATGCCTGATAACCCTCTCTGTAAAGAATTTCTTCCTAACATCTAACCTAAACCTCCCCTGGCAGAGCTTGAGCCCACGTCCCCTTGTCCTATTGTTGGTTGCCTGGGAGAAGAGACCAACCCCTGCCTGGCTATAACCTCCCTTCAGGTAGTTGAAGAGAGTGATGAGGTCGCCTCTAAGCCTTCTCTTCTCCAGAAGCTCCCAGAGCCTTGAGGCCCCGAAGATCCACAGGCAGCAGCAGAGCCCGTGCTGAGCCCACTGCTGCCACGCACAGGAGGGAGATGGGTTTCTCTGCTGCTTGTAAATGGGCAGGGGAAACCCTGATCCCACCCTGCTCAGGGGCACACTCAGGGTTTGGTCCCAGGAGGAGAAAGCTCTTGCTGCTCTTTGTATCTTGTCTTGGCAGGTGTTTACACCTCACAGCAGCCTCATGCCAGCACCTCTCCTGGGGTTTGGTTTTACAGGTGGAGATGCTGGCCGAGCCTCTCACAGGGTTACCTTGCTGGCAGCTGCACAGAGGTAACGGGGTTTTTCCTTTTCTAAAGGTCCCAAAATGGTCATGTCTCCTTGGTGCTCTGACAAAGCTGGTGCTTTAATGGTTTCTGCTGTGCTTGCAGTAGGAAAGCCCATGAAAAGCACAAGCTGCAGGCTGTGCACCCGCTCCAAGAGCCCCCAGCAGCCCCAGAGCCGGTGCAGGGAAATGCAATGGGGCAGCAGCCAGGGGGGCAGAAGGGGATGAGGGGAATCAGAGCGTGGGGTCACCTGAACCTTCCTGTGACTCTCAACCACTGCAGAGAAGCCCAGGTCTCCCAGAAGACAAAGACCATGACACTCAAGGAATGCAAGAAGGAAGAGAAGGCAGACAGGGAGTTTCAGAAGAAATTCAAGGTGAGCAGCAGCGAGTGATCCCTTATCCCTCTAAGCTCCTTCTCCCCTCCTGGGAAGGGTGCAGTGCAATGGCAGGGAGGAGCTGTGCTCTGCAGGGACCAGCCAGTACCCAGTTCCCACCTGCCCTGTTCCCTCATATCAGACCAGTCCCACAGACCATTTGGCTAGAGAGGCATCTGCTTTGCCCAAGCAGGGAGAGCAGTGAGACCTGCCTGACTCAGTTCCCCTGAGGGCACTGCTGTTTGTGTTTCAGTTCGAAGGCAGCATCGACGTCCTGACTCGGATGATGGTCGACCCTGCAGCGACAGAGAAGAGGGGCGGGGGGAGGAATCTGCCGCTGCGACGAGGAGAGATCCTTGATGTCATTCAGTTTACCAATCAGGAGCAAATCCTCTGCCGGAACAGCCAGAGGAGGTGTAAGTCTGGAAGAGGATGAGGGTTTGCCCGCAGGGGGGAGCACAGCAATTTTAGGAACAAGTTTCTTCGTACGCACACGCCCCGCCAGACCGCAGGAGAGACATCCTCCTGCCGTTAGACAGACCTGGCAGGTACCCTGGGCCTCAAAGGTTCCCACTTCTCTCCGCACAAACGTCCTGCCCTTCCTCCACTTCTGCCGTGAGCGGGGCTTGTCCTCTCTCCCTCTGCTAAAAGCCTTTCCAGTCCCCGGAGCCTCTCGGCCACCAGCCTGGCACCCCAGGCTTTGCCATGGGCACAGTCTCCGCAAGCTGTGTCTGCACCGAGGGATGCACAGGTGAAATGGGCTGCAGATCCTCCAGGCAGAGAGACGGGGATCAGGCTCTTCCCTGCAGGTGCCACCCAGCCCGGCAGGCTCCTCCCTGACACTGCCCGGAGCAGGTTCCTCCCACGGGTCCAGCTCAGCTTCCCAGAGCCGGCTCTGCCTTGTCCCACCTCTCCCTGGGGACATGTTCACCTCTCCCTGGGGACACGAGGTGTTGCTAAACCCTGCAAGTCCTGGGCAGGGGCAGGGGCTGGTGTGAGTCCCCGCTGATGCCGCAGCTCCCAGCACAACCTGACATGTTTTTCCTCGCTCTCTTGCAGATGGCTACGTGCCCCGGGCCGTGATGCTGCACCTGTGAGTACCCTTCCCCGACCCCTTCCTCCCCCCTCTGTGAGCTCAACTGCTCAGTGAGTGCCTGGCACCAAACCAATTCCTGACAACTCAAAACCATCCAGCCCAGGCAGTGACCGTAAACCCAACACGGGCTGGTTACCCTGGGGTGGAACCTGCCATTGCTGGTGTCAGGAGCAGCTCTGGCACTGGGGCACATTGAGCACTCCCCAAGATGTGGTCCCTCATGTGGGACATACCCAGAGGCTGCTCAGAGGCTGCTGGTGGCAGCACAAAGGTGCTGCTCCTCTACATGGCCGGGTCTGCAGCTCCCAGTAGCTTGGAACAAGGCCACTGTCTGTGAGAGGGGCCAGAGTCATGTTAACCCCACACTGGAGGGTCCCGGCTCTGTGGGGAGAGCTGGGAGGGAGCAAATGGGACAGCAGGAGGACACCAGAGCCCACAGACAAGTCAGGAGAGATGGGACAGATACAGCAGCAGGGGCTGGCCCTTGCCTCAGGGTCAGGAGGTGATGGGGACACGGGAGACTGGCCTGCCCTCAGCACCCTGTCTTTCTCCTTGCAGGGACACTGACATCTATGATGACGTTGAGATTTATGGTAGGTGCAGAGGGAGCTGCTGCCCTACCCCTTCACCAGGTGCTGCCTGGCACGGACCAGCAGCAGAGACCCCACACCAGCGCCAGGGCCTCCCCTCCTGACCCTTTGCTGTTTTGCCACCTTCCCTCTCTCCCCTCCCTCTTTGTGATTCCTCTTTCTGGGATATCCTTTACTTGCCCTCAGTTCCCCAAAGGTCTTCACGTTCCGCTATTCCCAATTATTTGGATTTCCCTGCACCCTTTCCCATCTCAGCTTTCTCCCTCCACTTGCTGTCAGCCCCAGGGCCCCTTCCATGTCCTTTGAGGTGTCCCTGATCCCCCAGACAACTGGGACTCCCCTTTCCCAAGCAGTTGCTCACCCCCAACATGCAGGCTCCATCCCCCAGCTCACAGCTGGCTCTGAAATTGGAGCTGAATAGAGGCAACTGTTTCAGCTCTGCTGATGAGCAAACACCTGATCTACTTCTGGCAGGCTGAGTGATCCACGCTAAGGCCAAAGGCATGAGGCAGCACCACAGAGACCTCCCCAGGGGCTGACACATGCACAGCACCAGGCACCACGCTCCTGATGGGAAAGGAGCTCTGCTTCCTCCGAGACAGCCTGCAAATCCACCGTGACCCTGCCGGAGCAGCCGCTCAGCACGTGGGGCTGCACAGGTCCTGTCCCACGGGGCAGGGGGCCAGGGATCCGAAAGTCACAACTTCACTGTGGCTTTGCTTTGTCTGTGTAAAATATGGCAGTGGTTCAAGAAGGCTTTGTGGCCTTGTTTTTGGTTGGGGGTTAAAGTCAGGGCCAGAAAGGTTTTAATATCTCCCCATTCCCAGAGGATCCTGAGTCTTGGACCCACCCACCCCATTCTTCTGCACCACGCTCCAGCTCCAGTAACACTCCTGGCCTGAGCCAGAGACAAACTGGACACAGAAATACTCTAAAATGTTGTGGATTATTGACCAGGCACCCCAGCAGCACCTCGTGGCCTCGGGGCAGCTTCCCTGCAGAGCTGGTGGGGAAGTTGGTTCTGTTGGGGCAGATATTCCTGCGGGAACATTCAGCACCATCCGTTGGTGCCTTGGGCTGCCGCCTGTGCAGATGCCACGAGAAAGCCCTGCCCTCACGAAGCCCTCCCGGATGGGGGTAGGATGGGGGTGCACTCACAGCTGGTGGGAGCACAAATCTGGTGCCGGACCCACATCTGGTGGCAAGACCCAGATCCCTTTGGATCAGAAACCTTGAGGGGAAGGGAGTGCTGGGTCTGAATCCCTGCTCTCAGTCTGCACACCGCCCCCCAACCCAGGGGCTGGAGGGTTAAACTGGGAGGGTTCGGCACCGCAGGGGCGGGATGCCAAGCCCAGATTAACCAGTTGAAGACGTCACTTTCCATTATGGGAAAGGCTCCCAAATATCCCTGAAGCTTTTGGTTCTGGGATTAGCCATCAGTACACTCAGCTCCCAGCACAGAGCAGGGGTCCGTCGGTGCCCGTGGCCATGAGCGGGGCTGGGAGCTGCTCCGAGGGGCATCGTCTGGGTGGCTGAGCACAACCATGTGGGAGTGTGTCAGGAGAGCTGTGCTGCACTCCCTGTCCACGGTCCTCCTGCGCCTCTGGAAGTGGGTGCGGGCTTTCTGGTACAAGAATGGCCTCTTGACCCTCTCGATGCTGTCGGTTGCCACCGGGTGCCTCCTGGGGTTCCTGCTGCGGACGCTGGAGCTGACGGACCTGGTAAGCCTGGCCAGGGTGGGGATGGCAGTGAGGGACATGGAGTGGTCGGGGGGACAACCAGCCCTGGTGCCAGTAAGGGTCCCAGATGGGCACAGCCCCAAAAGCAAAGGCTCCTGTCCAAGAAAACGTCTCAGGGCAGGTTTCTGCACGTGGGTTTGCCTTTTTTTTTTTTTTTTTTGACCAAGAAGCTGTCAACAAATGCCAAAGCTGCAGGACAAATCCTGCCTTCCTCCAGTGGGAGTGGGGGGCTCTGGGATGGAGCCTATGGGACAGCAAGAGCCTCCAGGTGGGTTAGGGAGGGGAAAGTGGGGAATGGCTGCTTGGCTGCAAGATGCTCAGTGACAGGCTCCCCCCAACACCACCAGCAGCAATGGGGTCCCAGCTGCTCCCCTGACCCTCCCCAGCTGTGCAGATGCTCAATCCAAGCACGTTTCTGCTCTCTGGAGAAGACCCAGCAAATAAATAAGGGTGGGTGGGGAGCCTGGGGGGGGGTCTTCGGGGGTCCTTCCTCTGAGGACCTTTGGAAACAAACACATTGGAGAAAATACCCCTAAAAGGCACGTTCACCCAGCGCTTTCCAGGAGGATCACGCTGTGAAACAGCCCCGGATCCCAGGGCTGCGCTGGCACTGGGCAGCTGGGCTGGGCTCAGCCCTGATCCTCGGCAGGCTGGGGAGCCCAGGAGGGGGAATGCTGCTCCAGGGAGAGCTTGGCCGGTGCTGGAACATCCCTGTGTTGCCCACTTGGATTTAGCAAAGTCTTGTCATTTCAATTAGGCCCCTCAACATCAGCGCAGCGGGGATGATCTCGTTACTTAATTGAAGCCGGGTGTAATCTCCCTCAGCCCAGTGCACACGCCCGTGAGGCCGGCACAGCCTCGGGGCTCCAGGCCCTCATCCTGCCATGCACTGAGTTCATCCATCCTCTGCCCCAGCCACTGCTCCCCATTAGAGACTTTTGTCCCCAAACCTGCACCACGGAGGAGGGGCCAGGCCCTGCTTTCCTCCCCACAGTGGGAAATGTTATGAAGTTAAAAGACCCGCTGACAAAGAGGTGCTGTTCCAATCAGCTGGCACCCCTTGCTCATGTCTGGGCCCATTGGAGCTCCCCAGGGACATCAGCCACATCCAGACCCCAGTGGGACAGCACAGGGACGGCAGTGGGGAGCAGTTGTTTGACCAGCTGCCTTGGCACACCTCAAAGCCTTACTTTGGAGTAACCAAAAGTACCTGCTTGGCTTGGGGCCATCTCAGATCCATCCCTGACACCTCTACAGTGGCACAGTGAAAGATGGGGGGCAGGGAGGGAGGGAGGAAGGGTGGGTGGATGCATGGATGGAAGGATGGTGGGTGGAGGTAGGGATGGATGGGTGCAGGAGGGAAAGAAGGCATTGATTTAATGGAGGAAGGGATAAATGGATGGATGGAGGGTGGGTAGAGGTAGGGATGGAGGGATGCTGGCCAGGTGGCTGCTGGTCCCACAGACCCTCACTGTCCCCTTGGTCATGGCTGTGCTATCTGGAATTTGGGGGTCTCTCTCCAGACAGCCCTTCCCCATGTCCATGTGAGGGATGTAGGGGATGTGAAGAGATGCCACAGCACAGAAACCTCCCTTGTTGCACTGAGGCTGCCCCATGAATGGGCTGGACACTCAGGCTCTCCCTGAGCTTGCATTTGCCACCTGCAGCCACAGGGTATTCCCACCTTTGGCTGCTCCTGATGGCTCTGGGGCACTTTGCAGATGCTCCCTGGTAACATTCAGGAGGAGCCAACTCAGAGCTGGGCCCAGTTTGGAAAAAGGCAAATTTATCAAGTTTGAGCCCTTAACCCACAATCATCACCCACTCAGTGCTCACCTGACACACAGCTCTGCTCTGTGTGCAGGAGAAGCAGTATTTTTCCTTTCCTGGAGAGCTTCTCATGAGGATGCTGAAGATGCTGATCCTGCCCTTGATCACCTCCAGGTAAAACATCACCTTCTACTCTAAAGCACCATCTTCCCATTGCATTGAGGAGATGGCCCCCTGACCCCCCATTGAGGAGATCACCCCAAAACTGCCTGGGGTGAGAATAACCCTGGCCCCAGGCAGCTGGCAGCCAAGCAGCATCCCCTGGCTTGGTGTACATCAAACCCCTCGATTTCCCAGCAGGTCTGGAACAAATCCTCACCTGGATTTGGTAGGCACCTGCACCCAGGTCAGACACCTGCACTGGCTGGGGTGTTTCCCTTCTCTTGGGCAGCTGGTGATGCTGGGACCCTCCGTGGGCAGTTGTGAGGGGTGGCTGTTTAACCTCAAAGCAGATTCCCTTATTTAGAGGGATTTGAGAAAGCTCAAGTAGAAACAAAAAGCATCCCTCAGTGCTCTGTCTGTGTTTGCAAACCCCCATTTGATGGGCCCATACAGACCAAGAAATAAGAAACAGAGCCAGCAGTCACACTCAGCTCGAAGCAAGGTCCCGGAAAGCTTATATGGATTAACATACTGTAAACAATTGCTGGCACGTGCTCATTAGACACACCCAACCCCTAACTCCTCATTCCCTCCAGGATGTGTCGTTCCTCTGTTGTTTGTCAGAGTTTGCTTGTTGCCCCATTTGCCTCTGGTTTATTTTTGGGAGCAGTGTGGTTTCTATCCTGGCCACACTTGGCCTGTTGAGCATCAGCCCTTGTGGAGATACTTTCTTTTCCCCTCCAGTACCTCACATCCCTCCCCCGAGGCACTGAGAGTTTCCCTCTGCTCTCAGCCCTCCCTGCAGCTCAGTGACCTGGGTCATCCCCTCTGACCACTCTCCTGCCTGCAGGCACAGGGTCTGCACAGGGCTCCCAGGAGTTTTCCTGCATGTTGGATTGAACCAGGGATTTTCCTTATTTAATTACTGAATGATGGTGAAGTGGCAACTTCCCTCTACACACCATCCCAGGGGGGACTGGGAGCTCCCCAGGCCTTGAGTCGGAATCACCCACCTCATCATTGCTTCTGTGGCCTCCTGAGCTTCCAAAGCCCCTTTCCTCCTGGACATGTGGCTGCTGGAGGGGATCTGTGGGCTGGCCACTACCTCAGCCACCCCATCCCATGTGTCCCCAAGGCTGGCATTTACCCTCACAGCCCCCCCCTCTCTGTCATGTCCTGCCTGAGGGTCGTTGGGCCAGTGCTGGACTCCACCAGCAGCTTCAGGGGTCTGCAGGGCTCAGTGTGGGTCTGCACACACGTGGGGCACCTGCAGCCCCCAAACACCCACATTTCATAGAATGCCAGAATCTCCTGAGCTGGAAGGGACCCACAGGGATCATCCAGTCCAACCCCTGGCCCTGCACAGACACCCCAACAATCCCCCCCTGTCCCTCAGAGCGTTGTCCAAACCCTCCTGGAGCTCTGGCAGCCTTGGTGCTCTGGGGAGCCTGGTCAGTGCCCAAACACCCTCTGGGGGAAGAACCTTTCCCTGAGATCTCTGATCCCTGCACTTCCCCTCAGATCTGGGCTTGCCACCTCAAC